CTGCGAACACACCTTATGAAATCATCAACACCAGAGAGCCGTCAGTATGTCCTGGCCCATGACCTGACTCTTCTGGGTCACTGCTTTTTTCAGTGCCTGTCTTTGTTGTCAAGGGCAGTGTCGTCACACCTCCTGGCAGGTTTCCTTCACGGCGAATGCACAATTTTAAGTAAGGTCTGAAACACAAGGGCTTAATAAAACTTGGCTGGATGGATACTCTAATGCTGTTGTTGATAGGAGACAACATGAGAGGGACTTGGGCTTTTGTTCTATGAATAGAACATTACTTAATAGCGCTCTCTCTCTCCCTCTCTCTCTCTGTACGTGTGTGTGTGTGTGTGTGTGTGTGTGTGTGTGTGTGTGTGTGTTATGGAGTGGGTGTGGAGGTCAGGGAAAACTTTGTGGAGTGGGTTCTCTCCTTCCGCTGCTACCTGGGTTCCAGGGGTTGAACTCAGGTCGAGAGACTTCCACGGCAAGCCTTTTTACCCATTGATCCATCTTCGCAGGCCCTCCCTTTGTTTTTAGAAAAAGCATCCCTCATTGGGACCCAGAACTCACCAATGAGCCTAGACTGAGAGGCCACCAAATCCCAGGGATCCTCCTCTCACTTCATCCCAACACTATGATCCCAGGAATTACAGGGGTGGACTGCCATGCCCGGCTGTTGACAAGGGTGCCAGGGATTGAACTCAGGGCCTCAGACTTCCCCAGAGAGCACTTTCCCGACTGAGTCCTCTGCGCCAGCTCCACATAACAGTTTTTGCCTCGGTTTTCTGTGAGGGCCCTTGTTTTTCCCTCTCTCTTTGAGGCACTATCGAGTCCAGCTCTGTCCAAGGTCAGACTCTCTGGTCCTGGGGTTCTCTCAAGCGCCAGAGCCAGCAACAGGCTGAAGTCATCACAGCCCCGAGATTAGATGCAAGGAGCCTCGTGATCCACATGAAAAAGATGTCAGGAATCGGAAAAAAAGATATGTTTTGGCTGGAGCGCCCCCTTCACCACTCTTGAGCTCTCTTAATAGAAGGAGTTGGAGTTGGAGTTTTCCTCTTTTTTTTTTTTTTTGCGTGCAGATTATCTGAGAACGGCTTGGCACTTGGGAATTTTCCACTGGCGCGAGCTGAGCGTAGTGGCGCCAAGAAAGGAGAGAAGAAAATCAGACAACGTGGGCCCCGGGTTTCCTGCCAGTCTCAATTTGGGAGACTTTTTCCATCCTTGGGGCCATTTGTGAGAAATTAAGCTCAGAGGCCTTCTAGGGAAAAATCTTTGGACTTTTGATTCCCCAGTGTGGAAATTTTGCACATTTGAATATTAAGTAGTGACTTGAGAAGGGTGTGGGAGGCGAGGCCAGAAACTCGGCATGTGCTTTTTTTTTTTTTTTTTTCCTTTTGTCATGGGAAGGCAGCATGGTTTCTGCAGCCTGAAAAGGCTTCGATCCACTGAGTGGGATGGAGAAATGGTGTCATCTGCGGCCTCAGTTTCCTGCCTCAGAAACAGAGTGATGCTGTTGACTTCACTGGGTTTCTCTGGGCAGCAGCTGTGGGTGGATCATTCTCTCTCTCTCTCTCTCTCTCTCTCTCTCTCTCTCTCTCTCTCTCTCTCTCTCTCAGCAGAAACAGTGTTTTTCTGTGGGGGCATTTCCAGTTACCTGTCTAATCCTCTCTCATGGCTTTCCTGGTGGCAGGTAAGTGACTAAGGCTAAGCGCTCAGCTGGGCCTGGATGTGGGTGCAGAACGCGCCTGTGGAGTGTTAACCCCAGCAGGTGCGTCTGGTGGGGCGGACTCCTCCACGGTAGTAGGTGTTAATGCTCGATGGTGGAACCTGGTGAGAGGCTGCTGTCAACAATCCTTTCTTGCCTTTTGAAATTCTTTGGGTGGTTGAGATGGCTTAGACCCAAAGGTGTTTGCTGCCAAGCCTGATGACCTGAGTTCCATCCCTGGGATCCACATGGGGCAAGGAGAGAAAAGTCTCCTACAAGGTGACCTCTGACCTCCACATGCTCCTCCCCTCCACACATGCACATACAAATGAATGAAAGAATAAATAAATGTAATAAAACATTAAAAAAAGAAGTTAATTGACCTATAAGGACTAAAAGTTGATAGAAACGTTGGGTCACATCTCACCTGTGTTAGAGGGTAATAAAGAGCAGAGACCAACACGTGAGAGTTCGGAGCAGGCTGGCAACACTTGCCCTTCAGCAGACCTTCATCACAGTCATGCCAGGAGGAACAGGACCAGCACAGCGGAGGAGGCCCCTTTGCTGTTGGAACAATTTTGCTTTAGCCCACATTCACAGGGTTGACCCGGTGCCGCCAATCTCTGCGCTTCACTGAAGCCATACACCAGCTGCCTGCTGGTGTCCACACCTCCTGTTGGGAGGCTCCATCTTCGACCCATAGAGCCTCCTACAGAGATCTTCCAGACTCTGTCCTTGAGGGAAACTTGAGGATTCTTCTGCTTCCTGTCCCAAGGATGGCTTAGTGCCTCTCATTTTGGCTTCAGGGAAAGCTACTGGTCCTCAGCCTTGGTCAGCTTAAAGGAGGAACTTGTTAGTTCAACCTCCCCCAGACCCTAGAGTTGGATCCTAGTAGTAGCAGGCAACAACATGAATCTTATGAAGTATAGAGAGTCGGATCCTGAGGATCCCAGCCCAGCTCGTAGTGAACTTGAAAGTTAAAGGTTTCTTTTGAAACAGTTCTGGTTAGGCACATAGTAGGCATTTTGTATGAAGCCTTGCAATATAGGATCTGGGGGTGAGCTCCAGAGCCATGTTCTGAGAATTCCAATATGGCCACTACATTGTGCATGACTTCGGGGAAACTTGCATAAACACTTTCTTCTCTATTTTTTCAGATGTGTATTCCTCTACCTTCAGTTGAGAAACACCTCAGTGGACAAGCCTATGAGTTTCCAGTGGCTTTGTAGCAATACCATGGTAATTCTACATTATCAGAGCCAGGTGCCGTGGCTCACACCTGTCATCCCGACCTGGACGGCTGAGGCTAGGAAGATGGTTGTGAGTTCAAAGCCAGACTAGGCTACAGAGTGAGACCCTGTCTCATAAAGAGACACAACAGAATGAGATGAAACAGACAAACTGATACCAACCACCCCTATTAACTGGGCCGCCCTGGTGTGATTACAAGTTCTCTTAGAAAAGAGGATGCAGGGATGCAGTCAGAATAGAGACGAGGTCATGGAAGTGGGGCTGAGGAGACAAGGCTGCTGGCTTCGAAGGCAGAGGAAGTGACATGAGCTAGGGACACAGGCACCATCTAGAAGCTGCAGAGACAATGGCATCCTCCCCAGGAAATTCCTGGCTGGGTTATTCCTGTCACATCCCATCCTCAGCCCATCAAGACTGATGTCAGAATTCAGAGATCTCCATTTAACAAAATGGCGGCTGTTGGTTTGTGATAGGTAGCCTTTATTCACCGTGATGGGATTTTGGATTATGTCAAAGGCCATTTCTGTAGCAATGGAAATGACTGTGTGCCTTCTTTATGTGTTGGATTGTTTATTGATTTACATGCACTGAACCAGCCCTGCATCCCTAGAATGAAACCAACTTGATCATGGTGAATGACCTTTTAGATGTGTTCTTGAATACAGTTTGTGTTGTAGTTAGGGTTACTATTGCTGCAATGAAACACCAAGAGCAGAAGCAAGTTGAGGAGGAAAGAGTTTATTTGGCTTATACTTCCACCTTGTAGTCCATCATTGAAGTAGTCAGAACAGGAACTCAAGCAGGGCAGGAACCTGGAGGCAGGAGCTGATACAGAGGCCATGGAGGGGTGCTGCTTACTTGCTTGCTCATCATGGCTTGCTTAGTCTGCTTTCTTATAGACCCAAGGCCACTAGCCCAGGGATGGCACCACCCACAATGTGCTGGGCCCTCCCCCATCAATCACTAATTAAGAAAACCCCACAGCTCAGTCCTATGGAGGCATTTTCTCAGTTGTGGTTCCCTCCTTTCAGCTGACTCTAGCCTGTGTCAAGTTGACATAAAACTAACCAGAATAGTTTACAAGTATTTTGTTGAGAATTTTTGCATCTAACCTCATCAGGGAGATTGATAATTCTTTTGTTGTTGTTGGGTCATTATCTGGTTTGGGTGTGTGGCTGTCTGGTTCTAATGGCTTTGTAAAAAGAATTAGAAGTGCTTCTTCTCTCTCTGTTTTGTGGACTAATTGAGTGTTAATACTAACATTAATACTAATGCTGGTATTAGTCCTTCGAAGGCTGGAAGAATTCTGTGCTGGATCTATCTGGCTCTGGGGACGCCATTATCCAATAAATAAAACCACTGCTATTTCCTCCCCTTGCAGCACAAAGTGACAGGAGCTAGCCATGACATAGGGCACTGAAATGGTGTTCAAGACTTGGAAGCACACACAAAGCTCCCTGGCTTTGTCCCAGCACAGTCAGACTGCCTAGACTCTCAGGTAGGTGCAAACAACTTCTGCCATTTGAAGTTGCTGTGCTATAGGGTCTCTTGGTAAAAGAGCCCCATCAGGCCCATCTGGGCCTTGTAGTTCTTCACCGGCCATTGCTGTTAGGAGCATCGTTTGCAGCAGGAGGTAGGGATGAGGGAAAGGGGCGCAGGAGAACTCTGCTGAGCCCGGATCCCAGATCCAGAGCCTCTATGGTGTTCCAAGCCTAGTGTTGGTAAACAAATGCCAGGTGAGGCGCTGTCCCTCCCTGATACTCAGCTGGACAGAACCTGTGCAGTTTGGGCTTCTGCAGCTAGGATTGGGACCAGCAGCCTTTGGGGCAGAAAGAATGGAAGGGGTATACAGAAGGCTCCAGAGCATTGTCTGTCCCCCCACCCCCCAAACTCCAATTTGTGCTGCCAATCTCTCCCTCTTGATCTGCTGCTGAAGAGGGGAGAGACTCCAGACCCACCAAAGGACCCTCTAAAACTCAACACCTGGCTTCAGCTGGTGACTCGTTCTGAGCCGGTGTCTCTCCCTTCCATGGAACAACAGAGTTCAGCAGCAGCCACTCAGCCCCATAAATTCTGTAGTTGCTTCTCAGACACCTCTTCTCCCAGTCACTCTGATGTAACTAAGCTAGTACAGACTGGGTGGCCCAGACAGGAGGAATTTAAGCTAAGGTTAGGACGGAAGCCAATTCCGATACTGGTGAAGGATCTCTCTGTTACTAAGATGCCATTTTTCATATACTAATCCCACCACAAATACCCTATCCTTAACCTCATCAGTTTTCTCCCAAGTCTCTGCCTCCAAATAGCAGCCTGTTGGCAATTATGTCTTTAATATATAAATGGGGAGGCCAAGGGGCACCTCCAACCCATCCTGCTTCCTCAGTTTCAGAGGTGAATGGCCCCTTCCACTGGTCTGCTGTCTCCATGAAGACTGGACAGTCATGGCAGCTACAGTGATAGGCTCCCCGTCATCTGGCTGATAGGATCCAATTCTAGATTTCCACTCTGAGGGTCTGTTCATAGAATAATACCCAGCAGTATCTAAGGGCTACCTAGGATTAAAACCCAAGGTAGGGTCCTTTGTGAAATATAAAAGGATAGGTCTAGATGAGATTAGAAAGAGGGGGTCCAGGCAGTGCAGGAAAGTGTCTAGGAAAGCTGGCTCTCAACTGTAGTCTGACCTGTCTGTGCACTGAGTTCTGGTCAGTCTCATTTTGGGGCGAGGTAGACAAGGTATCTACAAAGTAGTGAGAAGCTGCAGACAGCCCCCTGGTCTGCAGATAGACCCTGGTCAGCGCTGGAAAGGATGGGGTTCCTCAGTTGTGTCCCAGAGGGCATAAGGCAGTGTGCCCCAGGAGGGGGTCGGCTGAGTGACCTGTAGTGTGTGTGGGGTGTCCAGCCTAGGAAATGGGGTCTTCCAGGGTGTTGTTAGCACCTCTCATAGTTCATCCTACCTTTCAAAGTCAGCATCTTCATAGCAGCTTGGAGGTTAATCCCAGAAACTGGAAAATGAAACGAGCTGAATGCCAGGAGCGTAGGCCTGAGATAAGAGAGGGGTGATTGAGTTTGGCGATGGAAAGGCTTTGGCTCCGAAGCTGTTTCTACCTGTCAGCCAACAACCATGTTCGCTAATCAGCACTTTACAGCTTGAAAAGTGCACGCTCTCTCTTTCTCAGACTTATTATTTCATGTGTATGTTTGTGCACCTTGTGTGTACAGTGACCTTGGAGTCCAGAAGAGGGCATCATAACTCCTGCAAATAGAGTTACAGACAGTTGTGAGCCACCATGTGGGTGCTGGGAACGGAACTCTGGTCCTCTGGAAGAGCAACAGTGTTCTTAACCAGTTTTTAATCAGTCTTTGTGACTGATGACCCACATAATAATCATGTGCATGTGTTTATATATGTATGTGTGTTGTTTATTTACGTGTGTGTATATGTGTGTCAGAAGTTTGTATGTACTGTACATGTCCAGTGGCATGTGTGTAACTTGTGCATGTGTGTGCTATATGTGTATATATGTGTATGTGTGTATATATGTGTATTGTGCTTGTGTGTGCTGTGTCATATGCATATACATGTGTGTATGTGTGCTGTGTGTATACATATGTGTATATGTGCATGTGTGTGCTGTATGTGTGTTGTATGTGTATACATGTGTGTATGTGTACATGTGTGTGCTGTATGTGTGTTGTATGTGTATACATGTGTGTATGTGTACATGTGTGTGCTGTATGTGTGTTGTATGTGTATACATGTATGTATGTGCTGTGTGTGAGGGGTCTCACTGTTCACAGAGGAGTGAAATGACTTTCAAGAAGTTTGGGGCGGTAAGAGGCTGAGACAGAGAGAAAATGCAGGCTCTGCTCAGTGCTGCTCTGTCCTTGACTTTGCATCTGTCCCTCCTTTCAATGAGAGGAAACCTTGGCCAGTGTCAGGTAGGATGCTCAATGGCTGTGATGACATGCACACTTGGAAAGCCCATGGGCAGGGTGTACGAGTTCTGGCCCTCTCACCTCCCCCTTTGTCCCTTTCTAGGCTTCCATTGAGTCTGTTTTGTCTGCACTTGAGGTTGGGTTGGGTGTTCTGACTCTGGGAAACATTTGGTTCTGTTACCTGCTGACAGATGTCTTACAGGGCCAAGGGCCATAGCATGCTCTGCACACAGTAGGCAGGTTTTCCAAGTTCTCAGTCTGGAGTGGGGAAGGCGGTGCATTCAAGATGCTGTCTCTGAGCAGTGCTGAAAATCTCTACAGTGCATCATCGACATTTCCATTCTCTGAACACACAAGTGACAGTATTTTCCTCTCTACAGGTGATAAAGAAGTCTAGATGCTTCTACTTCTACTGGGCTGGCCCACAAGTCTTCCTCCCAACCTGTTGCAGAATTCCTCTGCTCTGGAGACCACTCTCTGGACCATGTCTTGTAACTGCTTTTTGGTTATGGATATCATTATCTGTTCCTCTTTTAGAATCTAGGCTTCATCAGGGCAGGGACTGGGCTGTCTTGGTCACGGCTGCATACTTTGGGCCCCAACCCATAGTAAGGGCTCAGTAGAACATGTTTGGTTCCCCTTATACTCTCAAGTTACCCTACTTTCCTCCTGCCTATGGACCCTCTTGGGATATAAGACAGGGTTGGATGGGAGGTGGCGCTCCCAGAAAGATGTGGTCATTTTACCATGATCTCCTCCAAGCTCACGGCAGTGGGATTCTTGGCCCCTTCAAGCACTGCAATTCTTATAACTTTCTAGGAGCTCCTACACAGCCTATAAGGGGCTTGTAAATACCTCATGATGGAGAAATGGCCACCTAAGGGAAGTGAAGCATGGATAGTTCAGTATCAGTGTGAACACTTCATCTCTGGGATGTCCCAGGATGACACAGGTGAAGACAGGAAAGAATGACTGAATGGACAGGAACAGACTCACCTACACAGATCTCATCCTGGGTCTATGGGGGGTAAACCATGGCTGGACCTCATCTGTTGGTGTATTGTGCCTTGTGTTCCTGGGAGAAGAGGTCAGCAGTAACACTATGTGTATGTTCCCTTAACTCCATGTAAGATGACTAATATTGTCTACTTGGAGCAATCTAGAGTTACCCAGGAGACCTATCTCTGGGCATGTCTGTGAGGTAGTTTCTAGACTAGGAAACTGGGGTGAGAAGAACCACACTAAATATGGGTGGCACCATTTCGTGAACCAGACTCTAGACTATGGGTGGCATCATTTTGTGAAACAGGTTTGAGACTGTGGGTGGCACCATTTCTGGGAAACAGGTTCTAGACTGAATAAAAAAGCAAGTGATCTGATCTCTTGCATTCATCTCTGAGTATGGATGCAATGTGACCAGCCACTTAATGCTCTCACTACTGTGTCCTCCCCATCATCCTGGACTGTACCCCTGAACTGGGGGCCAAAATAAACCCATTTTCCTTGAATACCTCAGTCAGGTATTTGTCACAGCAATAAGAAAAGTGATGAATCTATTATCTGCTATAAGTTCCGAGTGAGGGTGTTGGGGCAGTGCCTTTGGGTATAACACCTTCAAACATAACCCTAGTGAGGGTGTTGGGGCAGTGTGGGTTTAACTATGACCCTAGTGAGGGTGCTGGGCAGTGTATTTGGGTGGTAACTAGACTGAAGGGAGCTTCCCTCCTAAGGAGATTAATGCCTTTACGAGGAGAGAGCAGAGTACCACCAACTCTCCCCCAAGTGAGGGTGGGACTAGAAACCAGACTTCTACTGCTCAGAACAGAGTCCTCTCCAACACCCCACTGTACTGGCACCCTGATCTCAGCCCTCCAGAACACCTAGAACTAAAGCCCAGTCGATGGAACTGTGAAGAGCAGCCGAGCCTGAGGCAGACCGAGAGTTGGGCCTGCTTGAGCCTTACTGAGTGATAAACCCAATGCTAACACCTCCATTGACCTGTGTTTACCATGCACCAATCCCCTCCAACTATGCCCTCAGAAAGTCTAACTCAGTTTACTAATATGCAAATTACAAATGGAATAAAAGCAAGCCAAGGGGGAAACACTCAAGTCAAATGTCAGGAAATACAGGAAGGAAGCAATTAAAGGTAGATCGGGTTAAACTGACCTATGAAGATTGGACAGTGAGGGGAGGACATGTGGCAGAGCTGGATCCCCACTTCTGACTTGTTAGACAAAGTCAAGAATGTGACTCCAAGTGTCCAGGGGGAGCAAGGAGCCTGTTATGGGAATGAGGGTGATATAACTCTTTCTCCAACTTGTCTTCTCAAGTGTGAAGTTGGGAAACAGAGAGCAATGTCCTCGCAATGCCCCCAACTGACCACACTGGGCTTTCTCCTAGCATCCTTGACTGTAGGCAGGCAGTTCTGCACTAGAATGGACAGTCAGTAGCAATTCATTGTAAGGGATTGGATGGGAAGGCATTTAGAGTGTGGGTAAACAGTGGTAGGGCTACCTCCATCAATATATGGGTTTCTTCTCTACTGCGTTCTGGAGGCTGTGGATGGTACCCTGGAGGGCGATTTTATGTCACCAAGATGCACCCAGCTGTCCTTTGTGGAGTCCTCTTGATGCTCTGTATTAATCCTCATGCCGCCCCTTTGTCAGAACCAGATGTGTGTGCCCCCCACCCCCCACCCCGGTGTGTCCAGCCAGAACTTGTGCAGAATGTAGTCTCAGTGCAGCAGAGATGGAGGTGGGGTGGAGCTCTCAGAATCAGGTCAGTGAGGCTCTTGCCCTCATGGGACTCAACCAGCCATCATGAGCATGGATCGTTATGAAGTGAGGTACTACTCCTTGCCATGAATTGAAGCAATACACAGCTCTTAGCAGAAGAAGCCCCTGTGATCTTGAACTTTCCAGTCTCCAGAAGTGTGAGCCAAATAACCTCTATTTCTTATAAACCACCAAGTCTCAAGTATTCTGTTATAGCAACAGAAGTGGATTAAGGTGATTGGCCTTATCTACCCAACTAGTAAGAAGTAAGCTTGGTTCTAAGGTGTGATGGTTTGACTCTGAGATGTGTCCACAGATTCATGTGTTGACAGCTTGTTTCCCAGTTGGCGGTACTACACTGAGAAGTTGTGGGTCCTTGCTGGTAGAAGTAGAGTCGCCTATCACATGATCCCGCTGCCAGGAACCCCACCACGCCTTCCCTGGCAATGGTGGGCAGGAACTCCACGTTCAAGAACCATAAGGACCATTTCTTCCCTTACATTGCTTCTGTCAGGTGTTCTGGTCACAGTGACATGGGAGTAATTTACACACAAGCCCAGAGCCTTGGTCTGACCCTTCCCTGTCTCCTCAGTGCTGTTCCTTCAGATGAGCATGCCTGGTGAGGTAAGGGCCGAAGGGCTTTACTCATCTTACAAGATGGCGGCCGATCCTCCTTCTCCTCTATCAATCCCTTCAGTCCTGCAAACTACTGAACAGCCTGTTCTTTGGGCTGGAAGGCAACCAGGCTGAATTGCAATGTTTTCTAACCAGGCGTCACCCTCTCACCCCTGTCTTTCTTTGCAGCTTTCTCCCCTTCCAGACCCAAGCCCCTGATTGACGGAGGGCAGCTGCCAAGTACATCTGGCACAGGAGAAGCCCAGAGCAGCCAGTCATCCAGGTGTTGGGAAGACCCAGCCAGGGGTCATCCATGGCCAGTGTACGGCCCTCTGATTGGTCCAGACCCACTCCCCCCCTTTATCTGTGGAGCCTTCCTCCTGAGGACAGGCACTGAGGGGGAGGCTGAGGCCAAGGGACTGGGCCAAACATTTGGAAGCGCTTGCTTTGCAAAGACACAGCCAAGAAAACAGATTCAAACATTTCTTCTACCCACACAGTTCAGGAAAGCTTAGCTTGGAATTTCCTAATTTTTATGCTTAATTAAGATAAAGGGGTAGCAGAGCATGTGCAGAAGAACTTCGGTTTGGCCTCCAGAGGCAGGACTCACCATGGACCCTGGCACCCAGAAGTTGGTAGAAACAGGGGGGCTCCAGGGTAAACGTCTTTCATCCAGAGGCAGAAAGAGCCTGAATGGAGTCTGCCCGTGATCGCACCAAGTGACCATCCTGGGGTTTAAGTGTGGGCCCCAGGAAAGTTGGATCTTGCCTTACCTACCCTACTGCTGCTTTTCAGGATGGTGAAGCCTCTCCATGGAGGATCCAGGCCCAGCTGAGGAGAGCAGAGTCCAAGGCAGAGCTCAGGAACCTGCCATTTCTCTCCGAGAACACCTTCCATTTTGCAAATCTCAGCAGTTTAAACTGAAGTTCAAAACAAGCCAGTTTGGTGCTGGGGCTCCGGCTCAGCCAGTGGAGTGCTTGCCTAGCATGCACAAGGCCCTGGGTTTGATCCCCAGCATGTGAAGTAGCATTGGAGGCACACAGCACTCCTGTAATCCAGGGGAGCAGAGGTCCTCAAGCTCATGCTCAGTCATGAACTCAAGGCCAGCCTGGGACACGTGAGACCCCGACTTTAAAGAGATAAAGCAAGTCTGTTTTCTGAGCCTATGTGCCTGAATCCACCATCCTATTTCTGTTGGCTTTCTATGGTTGGAGAAGAGGAAACTGAGGCACAGAAACTTTTGTTATAGCCCTTAGTGGAAAGAGTCAGGGCTTATCTGTAGATCATTCTGTCCCTCCCTGATTTCTTTAGGATGCTGTGGGAAGTCCATTGCTTCCTACAGTCCAATCCTATATCAAAGTATCAACTTTAAGGAAGGGAATTAAAGTCACCCAGCTCCAGTCACATGGGGCTGTCATTACTTTTGTCTGACAAGACAGGAAGGCAGTGGAAGGCCAGCATGAGCCATTGCAGGGTCCTCAGGCTGACCTAGTATCAGCCACCTCTGGACCATGCCCAGCGTGTGACTGTGCCACCCGGTGATCAGAAAGCACTTTCCTCCTCTAATTCTTCCCTCCCCCTCCCCCCAACACACACCAACCTACACAGAAGTCAGGGCACTAGAGATCCTTGGAGAGGCAGCCTGTGAGCTGGTCCCCAAAGCTATGCCTGCTTTGAACCATATGGTGTTTTCTTAAAAACAAGTCTGATTGCCAACATTGAAAAGTTGGAGCCGTCACACAAATGTCTGCATTTCTGGCTTCTTTAGAGACTTGGACGATTTGCTATCACCAGACCTGCATTCTCTTCTGCTCAACAGCGAGGCTGAGCCTCAGCCAGGCTGGACCACCCTTGTTTTATCTCCAGGTCACTTGCTTGAGCCTTGGAGTTTGTCATGTGATCTGAGGACAGCTGGGGAGGCATGGGGGAGACCCACAAAGCCACCTTGTCTGAGTCCACATTGCCCTTCTGGGCATCCCCTCCTCTCAGCCCCAGGTGTACAGTTGGCACAGAGCTGCTGTCTTTGTCCATCAATCAAAATCTGTCCTGAGTATCTGATGGCGACAATCCCTTTTGGTGTTACCCATCTCATATCCACATCCCAGGGATCTGGGAGCAATCCTGCCAGGCCTTAGGTGGAAGAGGAGATAGGCATGACATACCAAGGGCACACAGGGCTGGGATTGGGCATGCCATCTCACTATGATCTTGGCATCAGCTTTCTCCTGAGTGGGTGGCCAGCGTGTGTGGAGGGGTTATAATTTCAGCTTTTGGATTCCAGTAATTCACTGAATGTCTATGCAAGGTGAGTTCACAGAACAGTGAATTGAGCCTGGCTCTTAGAAGCTGAATCCGTGTTTGCCAAAGACACTCTGTCTGCCCCTTGCCTAGGAGGCTAGGCTCTGCCCCTCCAGGGCTCATATGTTCAACCAAACACCACCCACTGCCTCATCTCGGTTCTGAAAGTTTTCTGAGCAAACGCAGTTGTCCAGCCTCATCAGTCCCGCCCCACAGTCCAGGTCCAGGACCTCTTTCCTGCATTCCTTATTCAGGCATGTCCTCTCCTCTGTAAGCTCCAGAACCTTGGCTTTTCTGCTTCCGGATCAGGGAGGGGCAGCAACTAGGATCTTTTGCACATGTCCACAGCTGAGGGCAGGAGAAAGGGAACTCTGCTGTGGTCATAGGTCTGCGTCCCTGGAGGGTCAGCCCATGGGGCCTCTGCTGCTCACTTGACTCTGAGCTGTCATTACCTGCAGCTTGGTCACTGTCAGTCTTCTCTACAGAGTGTCTTCCTTGTGGGGCAGGACTGAACCCAACAGTCAACTCCATGTCATCTGGATGAGACTGCCTGGCATACAACAGATGCTTAAAACTGTATGTCAATACGTTGCTTGTCTCCCGCTGGCCTGACATCTGCCCCTTACCGGTCCTGGATTCACCTGTCCCTGCGGGAGCTGACCCAATTTTTAAACTATCACTCACCCACCCCACCCCCCACTTCTCTTCTGCTCACTGACACAGAACCAAGCTCAGTACTGCCACCGTTCCCCCTTGCTGGGCACTGCCACCTTCTGAACTTCTTCATGCCTGACTCCCTACTAGACTGGGCCAACACTGATCTTTAAAACCCAGGTTCATGAATGAAGTATAAATAACCAAAGAGAGAGCTGGATCAGGAATGTCAGGCAACAGAACTCACGCACCACAGAGGAAACGTAGAATATTCAGGGAGACACTGGAAGAGGAGAGTTTTGCTTCTGCTTATTGTGTAGTGGTGGTGGTGGGGGCAGAACCCCAGAGTCTTGTGCACGCTAGACAGCTGTTCTACCACCTAGCCACACTCCCAGCCTGATGAGGGTTCTAAAAGGTACAAAAAAAGAGGGTTACGTAAGTTGTCTTGAAGCAATTATGCTTGACTGAGAGGTTCGGTAACAAGGGTGGCGTCGGTCCATGTTGAACAGTCCATTATGCTGAGCCTAGATGTCCTCGATGTTCTGTGTGAGGCACGGAGGCCTTCCTGTTGTACTGTGGATCTGGCAGTCTCTTGTGATAGATAATTCTTGCTCTTTGGCACATATAAGAGAGTGCCCCCTCATGACCTTCCCTGGTTTCACATTCTCAGAGTTCGACACAAGTGACTCCATTTTGGTACTGCTCTTCACTGGGTAGAGTCTACCCGCTAAGCCGACCATTTTGGGGAGAGGGAGGAAGACAAGCAAGTAGACTCATGTGAAAGCTTCAAGCTGTGTTAGAAGCGCGATCAGGTCAGGGGGCTGCCCCAGGGAGGCCAGCAATGCCCCACATCCACTGAGGATGTGGTCCTGGCTGGTTGCTGAGGGTTGGACTGTGTCTCCAGCTACCCATGCCAGAAACGAAACATTGCCAGCTTAAGTCCAAGAGGACCACCCAGTGGTGTGAGCCATCAGATGAGGGAGGAACAGAGCAGAGACTGCAGAGAGATGGGTCAACCGCCTGTGCCTGCTTCTGCTGGCCAGGCCACCTGTCTCATACTGTTGTCTGGATTGCTGGAGGAGGATTGTGGTCAGTCTGGTGCGGTCATCAGCTCAACCTTGAGTCTATTACTTGGGTGTAGAGAGTTGAGGCGCCAGGCATCTGAGAGATGCCCCAAGAGTGTCTACAGCAGGGAAGCGGGGGCAGGTATCGGAAAGGAAGGTTCCAGGAGGAGGATGCAGAAGGGGCGGGGGACATAAAGCCATCTCCACTTGGGATCTGGATCTGTAGCCGGACTACACACCATCTATATCTGACCTTCGTTGTCTTGGTGGCATGCCTCTCCTGTCTTACTCCTGAGGTTACTGCCTTTCCTCAAAGGCCGATGGGCTCCTGTCCTGTTGTGGGGCTTAGCTCTCGGCACCCACCTGAGCAGTAGAATACTGGCTGTGACGTGGGTCTTGTTCACAGTCCCCTGGGTCTTGTTCACAGTCCCCTGGTACAGCAAACTCTTTTTCCTGTTCTTGGAGCAATTCTGGCTTTCCCAGTGGGTTGTAGGGATCCTGGGCTCTCACTCACACTCTTCCCAGCAGGTTATAGACAAGGGCCAGGGCCAGGTCAGATGGTGTCCTGGGACATAAACCTGCAAGCTCTTTTCTGGGCTGAGCAGGACTGACTGGAAGCCAGTGTCTGGATAGGGTTTCTTCCCTCTACTCAACCTGGTGACATCTGTCTGCTGTGCACAGCGGAGGCCGGAGAGGGGCACAGTATGAATGACATGCAGACCTCCCAGGAGTCAGAAGACCACTTCCATGAGACTGATGTGCGCGTGCGTGCGTGCGTGCGTGCGTGCGTGCGTGCGTGTGTGTGTGTGTGTGTGTGTGTGTGTGTGTGTGTGTGTTACATTTCCTTTACCGGGCCATCCTGTGGGGCCCTGTAGCCCATCTTACAATATCAGCCAGGTCTGGTTTCCCCATGTTCTCAGAGTACACGATCTTGAGGCTTTCTGATTCCCTTGGGGACTTAGTTCTTGGGAAATGATGTTGGGCTTTTAGGCAGAGAGGACATGAAGGCTGATGTTCAAAACAGAGTGTCCCAGGCAGACACCTGGCCACAGCAGCCGCCCCTCAACACTAGGCAGGCACCCGCAGCAGCAGAGCCTGCTCCTGCTGTGGGAGCCACAGGCAAAGGGCCGCCTTGGCTGCTGCCTCCTGCTGACTCATTCATCTCTCCTGGCCTATCCTAGTCATAGCGCTCTGGTTGCCCAGATCCCCGGCCAGGCTCCCAGCACAGCTGGGTGACATTAAGAACTTGGCGCCCCTCAGTCCCGGCTCAGCTCCTTTGGGCCCTTCCCTTACCACTGTTGTTATCCTCCTGTCGTCAGATGCTGATGGGGTTCTGGGAGCAAGTGGGGAGAGGCTGGATTGAAACTGGACTGCAGGCCGGCCAGGGCGGGCCTGAGGAGAGGAGCTCCTGCCGGCAGGCAGGCTTTGGGTGCCTGTTCAAATCCTGGGTGTGTTCATGGTTCTTCTAGCCCTCATTTATAAAACAAGGGCCCAGGGAGACCTACATCCCAGCGCCCCCTGAGAGGACTGAGTAGCCACATGCACAGGGAGGGGACAGAAGAGCCCTGCTGCTCCACCCACCTCCTCGTGCTTAGTGCCTCGGTGACCCCTCTGAGACCCTCCGCCCACCTCCTCTGCCACCCCATTCACGCCAGCTGTAGTGTGAGGCTTGGTCTTGCCACCTGACTCCTCATCAAGCTTCTTCTAACGTTCTAGGCACACATGGAGACCTTTGATCATTCCAGATTCTAGAACATTCTAAACCCCAGAAGGAATCCTCTGCACAGCTGCCAAACACGTGGCTCTGTGCCTTATCCTCTTCTGTTCACTTGGCCATTGCCACCCTGCGTCTGTTTTTTGTCAACTTGCAATCTCAACAGAGGTTGAGATAGACCTTGCATGATGGCCCACCTCACTGTCTTGTGATGGCTTATGGTTGCCTCTAGGGGGCGCTCTCACACACTGTCCGTGACTAAATGAAGAGCTTGCAGGCTGGAAAGGTTGGCTGCCAACCAAAAAAAAAAAAGTTCCACCCACTCAGTTCTTCTCCTGACCTGCCAGGTCACTTTTCATTTAAAGACCCAGAAGCTCTGTGAAAGTCACATCAAACACTGCCCAGCTACCAGCAGAAAACCCCAGGCCATGGAAGATGACTAGACATGGCTTCTTTGCTCTGATTGTCTTGGGGGAGGAGGAAGTACTGAGGGCCATACTGATGAGTTTCAGTTGCTGAAATCAGAATCCTTCATGGCCGTGTGTACTTGGTAGCAGGAGTAGGAGTAGACCGTGCTGTGGAATAATCTTTTTGTACACTGTGAAGATGTGTCTCTGCCTGGGGTGCCTTCTGATTGGTTTAATAAAGAGCTGAATGGCCAATAGCTAGGCAGGAGAGAATAGGTGGGACTTCTGGGGAGAGAGAGAAACTCAGGAAGAATCAGAGACATGAGGGATTTCTCCAGCCAGACACAGAGGGATAGAGAAGAGGTAAACAGCCACGTGGCAGAATATAGATGGATATAAACGGGCTAATTTAAGTTACAAGAGCTATCTGGGAACAAGCCTAGGCTAAGGACAAGCTTTCATAATTAATAATAAGTCTCCATGTCATTATTTGGGAGCTGGCAGTCCAAAGAAAGTCTGATGAGAAAGCCTGCGACAGGACAGGGATGAAGGAAATGGTTAAGACACCCAAACGCTTGTGAGCCTTGGGTCTGTTCAAGCTAGACATAATTCACTCCTTAAAAGATAGCTCGTCCATAGGAGCCTTTGGGCAGGTTCTGGGAGTCCCCCCCACCCACCCATCAGGCCCTGTCTCTAGCCTTGATTTCTTTCCTTGCACCGTCTTCCTGTGGTCCCAGGTCCCTCATAGCTGTGAGGAACTAAAGACCCCAATGGCTTTAGTAAAGTGATGCTGGACTTCTGATTCTTTTCCTGGGAAATACGGAAATGGTCCCTACTACAGCATCCTCACAGGGCTGCTGGGACGACAACAGGGGCCAAGCCTGGGGAAGAATAGTTTTCCCGTTGGACGGAACATGGCGAGCCGTGCAGGCACAGTGGCTGGGAACGGTGCCGAGCCGAACGGAGTGTTGGCTTCCAAGCTCTGCTAAGGGGCCACTGGGGGCCGTTCCTCCTCTTGGCGTCCATTTCCCTGATCTGTGAGTAAGAGTTGTGGCCTCCTGACTTCAAGGACATCACCACTGGCAGTCTCCACGACTGTGCATTCTATTTCTGCTGGACTTCAACAGCCCTTTGGGTGGTGGGGCATGGGGAGAGGCACACCTCACTTGGCTCAAGGATCTTCTTGAATGATGTAGCCCCATGGCTCAGGACCCACTTGGAGAGTCTGTTACCTCCGGGACCACGCAGGCTGACCAGACATGACCTTTGTCCTGCCAGCTGTGCTGCCGCACTGTATTGGCCTGGCTTTCCTGGCTTCTGGGTTGTGCCTTTCTGAGTGGGTCCAGGTCCAAGAACTCCCCGGAAAAAGACTTATGGCTATGAGTCCTTGTGGGTGGGTTCTGTCTTTGTCAGAATCTCCTCCAGGATTGCTCTTTATCATTGCATCCAGACCACTGCCGTGTGGAGAGCTGGAACCTGAGCATGGAACCAGCTGTGAGTAAGATGGGAGCTGGCACTCTAGCCCCTTCCTAGGTTGGTGCCAGGCTCATAGGCGTTGACGGGATTGGTCATTTATGAATGGCCATCAGCTGGGTACCACTTCTGCCACTGTTCCTCACCTCTGTAAGTAAGTGGATCTCCAAATCTGAATGCCCCATGGATAAAACAGGAGCCATAGAGGGATAGCCAATAACTAGGACGTCTCCTTAAAAGAGACTCCGGCCCTCGACTGAAGGGATGTATTTAATAATGACTCCAGGAGCAAGATGAGGAATGAGGAAGAGGGAGGAAGATCACAGAGTCAGGAAGGAGGGGAATGTGAGGAGGTCTCTGGGGTGGGCCTGGAGGCTGGTCTCCTGAGAGCTTCTAGGACAGTGTGGAACATACTTCAGTGTACCCCAAAGGAGAGGAACATGGGGTGTTTATGTGCCGAATGCCAATTGAGATATTAACTGGTGTTAATGTCTCAACTTTATTGCCTGCATGGGCGGTGGGGGGGGCGGGGCATGCACGGCCTTGGGTCTATGCGTGTTCTAAGGTAGAGAGGCCCCCTGTGGACAGACTGAGGGCTGTGGGCCGGGCACCACCAGCAGCTGCCATGCTGCTGGCTCAGCAGCTGTTGTAGGCTGTGCCAGGGGTTAGCCCCGTACCTGACATGTGGTTCCCAGGAAAGAATTTTTTATTCTTAGCATTGTGTAGTCTTGGCTTCTTCAGTCCCAGCCCAACCACAGGTTATTCCCATAGCAACCCTCCTCCCTTTGGTGGCCTTGGGTTCTAAGGAGGCTCCAAGAGTGGGTCTTGTTAATTTAGGGCATCCTGTGGCTCCTGGCTGTACACTTGGGATCTTGTAGTGATCGCTGCCTCCTCAGAAAGACCTGGGCACAGCACCTCAGGAAAGCCTCCACCCGTTCCTACACTTGGCATCACAATTTCAGCTGTTCTGTCTGAGTGCAGGGGTGGAGTGGTGGTCAGTATTCTGGTAACTTCTGGAAGGTGGCTTCAGTCTGATGGCTCATCTTCTAGAGACTTCCTCAGGAAGGGACTAGAGCACCGGTTCAACTCTGGGTTCTATGTCCAAGTGTTTCCTTCTTGGGAAAAGACCAAACACAAACACAAAACAGCCATGTGCTGGCCTCTTCCCCACAGTGTCCCTTTCTCTGCCTGAAATTGGCAGTCACCATGCATGTGTCTCCCATTCTGCTGGCTGGAGGCTGGCCAGAAAGGGTGGAAGGCATTCGCTTGTGAATTGGACAAGGTTCCAACATTCCTGCAAGTTCGCACCTTCTATGAGCTGCGTGTAGTTGCATCCTAAGCATTTCAGCTCCTTCTGGGGCTGGGTGAAGTCACTGCTATGAAGCAATTTGCTTGGAATGAGTGGTACATGTTTTTCCTTCCACAGAGAAACGCCAGTATGTAGCTGGCTCTCCTCCGCTCAGTAATTAATTTTAGGAAGCACTCTCCCATGCAATCAAGGTGAGGGCAGACGAGGTCATAGGTGGGGCTTTCTCAGAGGTTTAGAGCCAAGCAGAGCCAGTGAAAATGAGACCACAGGCCTGGAGCTGTAGGAGCGAAGCATCGGCAACAAAGTCTTAACTGTCCTGGGGGTGCATGCAGGCATCAGGGGCTGTCTTGGAACAGGAGATGGGGCAGGGGGACCCGGAAGCTGCGAGGTTTCCCTGGAGACGATGTACGAGGTACCTGGAGGAAGCCCTTTACTGTGACTACTGTGCAGCAGACTGCAGGTCTCCCCCTGGGGAGGCCATCAGCCACTGTAAAGTAGGAAACAAGGGGGTGAAGGGGGCAGTTTATCACATTAAGAGTCTGAGCAATGCTGGCTGTTCTCTGGGAGGCACCTCTGTTCACTGGGGGGTTTCTACAAGTTGGGCTTGGCTACACATTTTGAGTATGGGGAAACTGAGGCTCAGAACTGTCAGAGAACTTGCCAGATCACCTGTCTGGTAGCAGGGTGATTGATTAAGTGTCACAGTTTCCGTTTAGCAGATATTCCCTCCACGTCTCTAGAACTCTTCAGTTCTGAACAAACCAGGACGGTTGGCCACTCTAGCAGTGCCAGAGCCAAGGTCAAAGCAAGAAGCACCCAGTCCCAACCTGTTCTCACCTGAACACTGTGCTGGCTCCTGACTTCCAAACCATGAGAGCCTCGCATGCACCGAGACACAAGGCCACACCAACAAGAAATGAGGTAGGAAGATTTGAATCCAGGGCTGCCTCTCTCCTACATTTTCTGATGAGGTCACCTCTTCAGGAACACCTTATTGTTTATTCCACAGTGGTGGAAGGTTCTAGAATGCTGCTGGGAACTGAAAGGCAAGGGCCAGTGGTTACACCTTTCTGGAGCGGTGCACACATTCCTTGGGAGGAGCTTGGGTTTCTGAAGCTTCTGCACCCTTTCCTGGAGCCAGGATGGTAGGGAGTTGACACACCAGCCCTTGGGAGGAAGGAGGGCTCACACTCAGGGCTGCTTTGATTTCAGCTGCAGCTCGAGGGTTCAGCTCACTGCATGGGTAGCAGATACCAATACAACACAGAACAAGGATTGGCTTGAAAAGAACTGCAAACACATTAGTACAATGTGGTAACTTGTTTAATCAGAATCAACTGGTGGCCCTGCTTGTGTGACATGATCCAGTTCTGATGCTCTTCCAGGGTGAGGCTGAGCTGAAGTCTCACCCAACCCACCGCCCCCAGACAGACACACATCCACTGTGAACAGAGTTATGTGGGCATGTTTATATTCACAGAAATTTTGTAATGGCCCGTCCTTCATTGGAACTGTTTCGAATTTGTGAACAACTGCTGTTGGAACTTATTCTTTCATTGCAGCTGGCACAAGACATCACAGTTAGCTGCTTGTCCTAATTATCCCCATTGCTTCTCTGTTGCGGGTTCCCACCAGCCTTGTCTTTTCAGCCATGCTGGTTCCAGGCCCGTCGTAGTCCTGAGGAAGGTTGCACCAGCTGAGCGCAGTGCCTCCTGCTTGCTGGCTGTTGGCGCACAGTGGCTGTATTCCGATATCCCCTCTTCTCCTTTCTCATGGTAATAGAAGCCTGACGTTTTGGCTGGATGCATGGCCACCCCTCCCAAACCAGAAGTCCATGTTACATTACAGCCTTCTTTGCACCAAGCTGTAGCTGGCAAGCTAAGTTTGGGACATCAGGCCTGATGTGCCTTGTGCAGGCTCTGGGTTGGGTCCCTCAAGGACTTATCCTTTCTGACATGCTTTCTTCCTTGGCTGTTGGTTGGCATACAAGTGTGCTGTGTGTGTGTGTGTGTGTATGCAGGGGGGGGGGCTGTTTGGAGGTTTCTTTGTTCATTCATTTTCCCAGTGTGATCAAATACACGAGGAAATAAGACTCCATGAGGGATAACCAGCAAAGACAACAGACAGTAGAAAGAGACATATGGAGACACCAGATATAGGAACAATCAGAGAAAGACATGACAGAACATGTAGTAAGGACCCTCGGGACCCTCTTGTCACCAGGGCTGCCTGCCTGACTTCAGTATACGATAGAGAAGTAGCACCCACTGTGGCGCGCTTCTGTGGTAACACACTCCCTGTTCCGTACCACATAGCCTCATGGCCTGTCTGGAGCAGCTCTTCTCATGAAGTCTTAACATCTTTCAGTAAGCATACTTTAGTGTCTATTGTCACATTTACTAGCACAGACACTGCGTTAGCCTTCTGGGACTACTATCACACATATTAGACAAAGCAAAGGGCTTACATTTACTTTAGCTCACAGCCTTGGAGGTTTGGTTCCAGGGACACTCGACTGCATTGTTATGGGGCCTGTGGACAGCCAGCACATCATGGTGGGAGGCCATGGCGGAGGCTTCTCACCTCAGATAGACCCAGAAGAGGAATAGATAGGAAGAATCCAGGGCCCAGTGATCTAAGACTTCCTACTGGCCCTACTCCTGAAAGGTCCTTCTATTTCCAAGTGGCATCAAGTGACAAGCAGATCCTTAACGTGAGTGAACCTTGGGTGACAGTCAACATTTTTCCAGGAATAGCTTTGGCTGACAACTGAAATGTGGGGATTAGCTGACATTTGAGTACTCTTTTGGTAGATGAAGATGGTTAAGAGGTACCTATAAGGATCCTATAAGATGGGATATAGGATTGGCTTGCTGAGCAGGCTTTCTTATATAACCCAGTTCCAGCTGCCTAGGGATGGCACCACCCCCAGTAGGCAGGCTCTACCACATCAATCATCAATCAAGAAAATGCCCTCACTGACCTGCCACAGGCCAATCTGAGGGAAGTAATTCCTCCATCAAGATTCTTTCTTCTCTGGTGACTCTAGTTTGTTTCAAGCTGACAAAACCCAACCAGCACACGATCTATGAAATGATAAGAAAAATACTAGTTTCCCATGAGGCCACCGACCTGCACCCAGGAAGCGGGAGAGGCTGCTGGTCCCTCTCATGTTGCTTGCTCTTCCAGCACAGTCTTAGCTACTTTCCTTTTCCTGTGATCAAACACCAGATAGAGCGAAGGTCATTCGATCTCACAATTGAAGAAGAGTGGAGTCTCTCATGGTGGGGAAGGCATGGTACAGGAGCATGGGGCAGCTGGCCACATTGCATGTCCTGTCAGGACTCATGGGCTGGCTATAAATCCTCAAGGTCCATCTTTACTTTCTTCGGTGAGTCTCTGCCCTCTGCAATCTTTACAATCTTCCACAGCAGTATCCCAGCCAGAGACCAAATGTTCAAACACAGGAGCCCAGCGAGGGCTTGCTTTCTTCCTTCCTTCCTTCCTTCCTTCCTTCCTTCCTTCCTTCCTTCCTTCCTTCCTTCCTTCCTCCCTCCCTCCCTCCCTCCCTCCCTCCCTCC